CTATGTGCATGTTTAAGGTAGGCTAGGCAAAGCTATGATGTTCAGTAGATTAAGTGTATTAAATGCATTTTTGGCTTATGAAATTTTCAACTTACAATGGATTTATCAAGCTATAACCCCATCAAAAGCTGAGTATCTGTATCCTTTTCAACAGAGAATCTAGTATTTCAATATGTCTAAAAAGATTCAGTGTTTTATTTATTCAGCACTTGTTTATTTTCTTCAGGATTAAAATTTTCTAAATAAAATATTAGAGTCTAAAAAAGAGCAAAAGCCTTCTGATGCAGCAAAAAGTAAAGGTGGGTGATGCTAGCTGTCAATAAGCGCCCTAAATCAGATATGTATCTGAGACTCACACATTTTTTATTAGGCATCTCAGGCACTTTTGTTGAACCATATGGCATCTTTTCCCAGGTTCTCTGTGTTCACAGCTTTAGTTCTAAACAGTTTGCCCTGACCCATTTCTCACACCTGCTGTGTTCTTGCCTCCTAATACCTCTGGCCATGATCTGGCAGTTCATTCTCCTCTCCACCCTTTCCTTCCCTTTCCCATTGAGGTAGGTCCTTGGGAAACTAGATTTACTTTTCTAAGCTGACCACATGTGTCTCTGGTGGCCGTTGCAAACCCCTCTCCTGGAGGTAGAAATTCCCTTATTCCATGGGGGCCTCCTGATGCTCAGACAGAAATTGAACCAGAGTTTATATAAATGGAGCCAAGTTTCCCTGTGCTTAGCTGTTCTTGGGAAACATAAAAAGTGGTTGGTTTGATTTTCACAAAGCTTAGCTGGTCTGTTCATGATGGATTGCCTCTTAGTACAGGCCACGTGGCCTCTGTGAAATCCTTGGGAGTCCCGGGGGCACCTCAAAGTGGTATACAGACAGCTCTGCGGCAGCTGAAATGAGGTACAAGGAGAGACCTGGGCCTGTGAGCCGGAGGACACACACCTTGCATATTAACACATCGTGGGCTCACAAAGCAAACAGCTTTCCAACATGTCCCCCCCAAACCCAAATCCTAAGTGCAGATCCTCCAAGTACACAGGCTGATTTACAATTGAGCTACAGCTCACATAGGCAACTTCACATAGCATGATCTTGGGTGAGTAGCAGTAGGGGTTGCGTTATTGAAAATCATGGATGAGTCATAAACAGCACTGGGTGAAGCCTAGAGAGAAATGAGATGGTTAACCCCAGTATCCTGCTGCACCTCTTTCAAGTGGTACTATTTTCAGGCCCAGCCGAGGTTCTCTTGTTCCCAAGACTCTTTCCCTGCCCTTTCAGCTGACCAGAAGCCATCCTCAGGGCTCCCTGCCTCTATCACTCCTGTGGCCCTTCCTCGCATCCTATCCTGCATTAAGAGATCATTCTGTGGTTTCCATCAGCTTAGCAAGCTGCCTTGGCTGTCCTTCATACGTTGGCCACTCCATGACAGACCCTTCACCTTGTGCTACTTTAGGAGCTTCCATTCACAGAGAGTATGATGTTATGAGAGAAAAAAAGAATGGATAAAAGCCACACGTGACATGGCTTGTGCATTGTGGTTGTCCTGGTCCTGGAGGGATAGCATCTTACCTCCTGAACGTTGTGTACAATCTTGAAATCTACTTTATCAGTGTGGGGATCTCACATTGCTTGGCTTAAACACCTTTGTATCTATCCATCAGCAAAGTCCAAACTAAATTAGATAGGCCTAATCTTCAGCTGGACTGCAGGGAGAGGGCCATACCCCTTCAGGAGGTTGAAGCCTGACCCACGGTGCTCCATTCTTCTCCCCAGCACTGGCCTGTGGTGTAGCCAGCTGCCCAGCCCCCACCCCATCTGAGCCAGCTGCCTTTCCAGAGGTAGGTAGTGTGAATTGGGGTAGCTTTGTGAGAGACTCATCTAGAGCTATACTGATGACTACCTGTCCCCACAGGGAGTTACTGGGTCCCTCCACCGGAGCTTCCATGACATAAACGACACAGACTGCTGGCCATTTGGGTAAAGAACATACATGGTGTCCATGACAGATTGTTCTTTCAGTAGCAAGGACTGGGAGAGGTTTCTTTTCCCTCCAGAGTCTTTTATTGTTATAGAAGATTAACCTGACCCACTAGGATATGTCTTAAACTCCTCTACATCTGCCTTCAGGAGGGACTTCTGGGTTCTTTCCCAGAAAGAGGCCTGAGAAGGAACTCCTGCCCTTGTCCCCTGGGTGCCCTTAGAAAGGCCAACTGGGACATTTCCCCTATTAGTGTTGTATTAGTTTACTCTGACTACTATAATGAATTCCTACAGAGTAGATGATTTAAAACAACAAAAGATTATCCTCTCACAGTTCTGGAGGCCAAATTAAGGTATCAGGAGGACCACACTTCCCTGAAGGCTCTAGGAGTGCATCGTTCCTTGTCCCCAACAGCTTTTGGTGGCTCCAGATGTTCCTCATCTTATGGCGCTTCACTCCAATTTCTGTCTCAGTGGCCACACGGCCTCCGTCTCTTCTGTGTCTCCTCCTCTGTGTGTCTGTCTTATAAGGATGCTGGTGGTTACAGTTAGGGCCCTCCCAGGTAATCCAGGGTAAGTGCCTTCTCTTAAGATCCTTGACTTAATTATATCTTTTGCCATATAAGATAATATCCAGGGCTCTGGAGCTTATGACACAGACGTATCTTTTTTAGGACCCACCGTTTGACCCACTCCAGGTCGTTAGTTGCTGAAAGGATCTGCATCTTATGAACGAGGACAAGCCCCAGCATAGAGGGAATGCTTGCCTGGCATTTGTGGAATGGAGGACCAGATGCTTGGATGAAATGTACACACACATAGTGGCCACGAATCTTAAGAGGCATCAGTGGCTGGAAAGGAGATGGTGTAAATTTTATCCCCGTCCCTGTTCCTGATAGAGTATCTTTCTATCCTGGTAACAGGTTTTGAGATGAAATGTGGCTCAAGTGTCTCAGAACCCTGCTTGAGCAGGGCAGTTGCATTACATTCCACAAGTCATAAATATCTGGGGAGCAAAATCAATTTCTGCAGCAGTGGTACAGGGATGGTAAGTTGGACATTTAATTTTTATTTTTTAGGTCAATCAAGATTCGTATGTGTTGGAGTATAGTGTTTCTGCTTCTTTTCCCAGCAGAGTGACTGCTGTACTGTGATACAAACCATCTACCTCATGGCCAGTTGAGGTGGATTAAAGACTTCCCAGGAAGTAGGGCTTAATCTCTGGCCATAGGGCTCCTGGAATGGCCATAGAGGGGAGCCAGTGTGAGCTACTGTCCCTCTGGTCCCTGTCAGAGGCCAAGGCTGACAGGCACAGGAACAATTCCTTCAAGGCCTGATGGCCCAGGAAATAAGATTCGGCTCCTTCATTTGGCTGCAGGGGTGTCTTCTATGCACATGGCAGCTGAGCTCAGTCGGGAATGCTCATTCAGGCTCCTTGCCTGTGGGCTACCCAGAATCTATCCTGGTCTCCCCATGTTTATTGTGTGACCTCTGAGCCCTGAACAGGAAGCAGGGCAGGAGCCCCCTGTGTTTAGTTTTCTCTTAGCTTATCTACAAGTCTTCCCTGCCTGGAAACGGTGTCCAGAACAGGCCTCTCACCATCTGCTTATTTTACCTGTTTTACCCTCCCTTTCTCCTACTCATGGAGGGTGGAATTTCTACTTCCAGTTTCTATTTAAAAGGGATTTTCCCATATGCCATTTCTACTCCATCCTTTCCTCCCACCATGATGACTGGCTGGCTGCTGAGAAACATGATTTATGCAGGAGACGGTGATAAACACATAGTTTAATGTTTTCTAAATATGAACCTTGTTTTTCTCATTTTATCTACAAGCATGTGTGACTGTGGTGTGCATAAAACTGTGTCAACAATGGTTTCTTTCCTTGAGGAGCTCACATTTATAAAGGAAGGAAGAAATTTCAACCAAAAAATAAAAAACACCCGATCTGAAAGGAAAATCAACAGCAACAGCCTGGACATTCTAAACTAGGAGGAAGGCAGAGCTCCAGGAGACTTTTCTCATTTCTCTGAGGCATGGAACCTCCAATGTGGAAAAGAGCCTGGAGTTTAAAAAGACAGTCTCTTCTGTGTCTTGGATACAGACCACACCAAATGTTTGCAATACAGGAGCACAACAGACACAATCTTGATTTGAGACGTCCTTGACATTCCATTGTCAAGGGGAATTACTGCTTCCCTTGCATTAAAGGCATTGTTGCCAATGCATATTCTATAATGTGCCTTCCTTTCCTAACAAAGATTCCAGTTCAACCTGCATTTTCCTATAGCTCTGAGTTTGCACTTTCATTTAAGCTAATAAACATCTGACCTTCACAAGGGAAATATAAACAAAATCTTGACTTTTAGGTATTATGATCATTCTTGCCGAAGGCATGCACTGTATGATGATATCAGCCTTGATTATTATTTCCTGTGGCACCCCAGGTTAGCCGGCTTGCGGTTACTTCAGCCAGTTACAAATTCTTCATAGGAAAGGGTTTAGCTTTTAATCTGATGCCATCTTCAACTCAGGCAGTTTTAAGATGGTCCAGTGATTTCAATACCTTAAAGGTCGCACATAATTTGATAGATAACTCAGCTCAAATTTTTCCAAAAGTAAAAAAAAAAAAAAAAGTCATTTCACAAATCAATTTCTCCAACTGTTCAATTTTTTTGTCATGAGTTCTCAATTTTACCACTAGAACTGGACCATTAAAAAAATCTATTCTCAGATCATAACACCTGAGAGGCCAAGCGTGCTACTTAGAAATAAATGTCAAAATAGACTTTTTATGTTTCTAATTATTTGCATTTATTTTGATAGGCTTCTCTGATCAAAAGAGCACTGAATGCACATTGAAGAAAAATTTAATAATAAAAAATCACAAATAGGTGAAAATCCTTTTGAAATTGCTATGAATAGACAACCATAATTAGCATTTTTGTGTACACCCATCAGAGTTTTGTTTTTGTTTTGTTTGTTTGTTTGTTTTGTTTTGAGACACGGTCAGGCTGAAGTACAGTGGTACAATCTTAGCTCCCTACAACCTCTGGCTCCTGAGGTCAAGTTATTCTCCCACGTCAGCATCCAGAGTAACTGGGACCACAGGTGTGCACCACCACGTCAGGCTAATTTTTGTATTTATTGTAGAGATGAGGTTTCACCATGTTGCCCAGGCTGGTCATGAACTCCTGGGCTCAAGTGCTCCACCTGTATTGGCCTCCCAAAACACTGGGATTACAGGCATGAGCCACCACCATGCCTATTCTTCTTTCTTCTTCTTCTTCTTCCTCCTCCTCCTCCTCCTCTTCCTCCTCCTCCTCCTCCTTCCTCCTCCTCGTCCTCTTCTTCTTCTGCTTTTCTGTTAGTTTGAGCCACATAAAATTGTGACATACATGTGTGTACACACACACACACACACACAAAACAAACCTTTATAATTACTTCAAAACTTGAATTTTTTTTTACCAAATATATCTAGAAAAATTCTGTAGGTTTAAATATACCTTTTATAGAAGTATGATGGATTTTATTAAATGAGTCTCACAATTTATTTAATTATTTTCCTGTTATTAGACATTTGGGTTATTCTCTCATTCCACTTTTCCAATTTGGTGGTGCAAATAAGGCTACAATAAACATTCTTGTTTCTACCTGATTATTTTTAAGAGCAAATATTTAGAAGTAGATTTCCCGGGTTAACTGATTTGAGTATTTTAATAAAATTAATGGTGAGACTGGAAAAGGGAGGGGCAGGGTCACAGAAAAAACACTACACAGGCCTTCCCACACACATAGGGTTGAATCCTTCCTTGTCTAATAGCCTAACCCAACTTTATCCTTTGGTAAATGGTGTTGTATTGACTTTAAAGAGTTGATATAAAGATTAAATAAGATATCTTATATAAGGTGCTTATTGTATTCCTGGCTTCTCAGAGAAGCTAGAAGGAGGTTAGCTCTGTTTATACTAAGGGTACTAACACAGACCACGGCAGTGTTTGTCCAAAGGTAAGCAACACTTAATGATGGGACTTCAGGTATTACGGAGGCCAGTAGGAAGCCTATTCTCAACTTCTCATCTCATTCTCAACTTCTCCCTCTTTCCTCCCGATCCCCAATCCCAGAAACCAAAGAATTTGTCTTTTTCTGCTGTGACTCTTGGAAGATTAAGACTTTCTCCTAAATTCCCTACCTCTAACATGGGAAGCAGGCAAGAAGCAGTTTAGTTCAGGATTCATAACACAGTACTACCTGGGACCAAATCCCCACTTGCCTACCCTGGAGCTTTGCCGTCTTGGGCAGGTTAGTGGACTGTTCTGTGCTCAGTTCCTCCCCCTTGTAAAAGAGAAATGAGAATAACAGTCTGTAGATGACAAGAAGAAGTTAACATAGGCAAAGCACTTAGTACAGTGCCTGGCACATAGTTAACACTCAGCAAAATATCAGCTATTGCCACTCCACCACCCTCACCAAGGTAAGCTCTGTAAGAACATTTTGACTATTTTGTTCACTGCCAATTTCCTCATTGCCTAGAACAGTGCTGGCATGCACTGGGCACTCAGTATTTGTTCAACAAATGAAGAATGCTCTGAACCCCTTCATTACCAAAGCATGACTGCCGATGCTGTTTGTGCCACTTATATGTTGTTGGTGTTGTTTTTCACTCATGACAGAGTCATTCTAGATTTGCTCCTAACTTCTTTCTCTGTGGGAGAAAATGCTATCGTTTCTTGGGCATAAATATTTAATGTGACATTAGCTGCAGAAGCATATTCCTTTAGTGCATTTGGTGTCCCTCCTGTGTTTCCACGAACTGGAAGGCACTTGCTGTATGCAACAAGTATTTATGACTTTGAATCACATGGTGTGGTGGTGCAGGCATCTTGCTGTGTAGCATGACGTGGGAGGGCAATCTGCAGCCACTGGACACTTGGGGTCAAGAAAAGCAGATACACACAGACACATACAGCCCAGATCCTATCCTTTCAGCTAGGCCCCAGTCTAATGGGAGGCATTTCTTGTCCTGAATCATGAGCGGTGCAAAAATGATGTGAGCAGGAAGACAGCAGCAGAAATAATTTATTGGAAGGTGATGATGCTGAGCAACATCTCAGCTCACATCAGCTCAACAAACTCTTTATTGAGTACATGCCCTACACCTGGATGGGGCTGGATATCAGGAAAAAGATCTGAACAAGACACAGGAAAATAAATAGAACATAAGCCTCTCAACGGAAGGACTGTGTGTCTTCTCCCGGAGCAGTCATAGGGTCCAGAGTAAAGCAGTCAGTAAATGTTGAATCAGTGTACCATTGGAAAATGAGAGCTCGGCTGCAGCTGCATTCTGTGTGCTCTCCAAGGTGTCTGAGCAGAAGGAGCCTCTGTTTTTAAGGGGCTGGGGATGGAGCATACCCACAGAGATTCCTATAATGCCAGCCTCTTGAAAATGACCTTGGATTACAGAAAGTCAAAATAATTGAGATGGATGGCTTCTCTTGAGAATAGAAAACTCAAATTCGGGTTGTATGGTAATCAGAATGACACCCCCTGCTCACCCCAACTCTAACAAATGTCCATGTCTCAATTCTTGAAACCTGTGAATATTTAGTTTATAGAAGGACCATTGCAGATGTGATTAAATTAAGGAGTTTGATGTGACAGATTCTCCTAGATCATCAGGTGGACCCAATATCATCACAACGGGCCTTATAGGAGGGAGGAAGAAAGGTCAGATTCAGAAAAAGGGGTGTAGTGATGGAAGCAGAGAGAATGTGATTGGAAGATGCCATGCTGCTGGCTTTGAAGATGGAGGAAGGGGCTGTGAGACAAGGAATGCAGGCGGACTAGAATAGCTGGAAAAAGCCAGGGAACTGACTCCCCCCTGGAGGCTCCAGAGAAAAAAACAGTTCCGCCAACACCTTGATTTTAGGATTTCTGACCTCCAGAGCTGTAAGAGAATAATTTTTAAAAACTCTATTAATTTGTAATAATTTGTTAAAATAGTAATAGGAAACAAACACAGATTTACCTGGAAAACATGGGAGTCACACTGATTATTTCACATATGTGTCAAATTGTTTTACACAGGAAGAGGCCTGTTTAGGAAGGGCTCCTTGGAGGATGGGGTATCTAAGCTCAGCCTGAAAGTATGAACTAGATTTCAAAGGGCAAAGACTGGAGTGAGGACGAGAGGATTTTATAATGGGATGAGAAGCAGAGAAGGAAATCTGCCAACAACACAGAGAGAAATGCATATCTTTCTCATTGATCAGATGCAGGGATCTTGCTGAGGAGTGGGGTGGGAAGGAGGGGAGGTAAAAGATGCCCCTAGAAAGATGGTCTTGGGAATAATTACTGAGGTCCATAAGTGCCAGGTCAGTTTTGTAGTTTTAATAATAACGTCTTTCATTCTCTGTGGAATTCTCCCAGTCTCTTTCTCACTGCTCCACCAAACAGTTCTTACCTAGGCTACCAATGACATCTGTCACCAGATGTACTGGTTAATGCTCATATAACTTGACCTCAAGGAATCCCAGCAGCATTAGACAGAGTGGACCACTCCTGTCGAAGTGTTTTATGCCGTTAGCATCTGGGACACCACATTCTCCTAAATTTCTTCCTTCCCCAGGCAATCGCCTCTCATTCCCCTTTGTTGGTTTCTTGTCACCCTGATGATGCCTCAGGTCCCAGTTCCTGGTTCTCTTGTCTCTTCTATCTACAATCATGGTCTGAGTGATCTCATCTGGTTTCAGGATTTGACTACATTTTGATGACTTTCAAGAATTTATTTCCAGCCGACTTCTACCTTAAAGTTCTGGTTCATGTACTCCGTTACCCACTGGGTGTCTCTACTTGAATATTTAAAAGACTTTTCAAATTTAGCATGCCTCCAGCCAAATTCCTTATTTCCCCCCAAACACTGCTCCTCCCACAGTCTTCTCTGTCTCAGTGATCTCTACCCTATTTGTCCATTTGCTCATGCCCAGAGCCAGGAGGCATTGTTGGCCCCTCCCTTCCTTACACCCCACATCAATTCACCAACACATTTTTCAGCTCTACCTTTAAAATATAGCCAGAATTCTGTAACTTTTTTGTGATCTTTATTCCTACATTTGTTGTCCAAGCCCCCATGAGTTTTTGTCTGGACTGTTGTAATAGACTCTTAGTTTTTCTTCTGCTTCTTAGTCTTTTCTTCATGAAGCAGAGTGATTCTTCTAGCACACTTCGGTGAGTGTTATGCTCAGAGTTGTCAGATTCATGTTGTCCTTACTCAAATAAAACTCAAAGACCTGACATTGGCTTACAATGTCTTACGTAGACGGTCCCTCTAATACTCTGCTGTCATCACTTAACTCTCCACCTTGTTTAATCTGCTCCAAACACACAGTCCTCTGTGGCACACCAAGACTTTATGTTTCCTATACTGTTACCTCTGCCTGGAATGCTCTTCCTCTAGCCATCCACCTTGCTTCCCCCTTCATTCATTCAGGCATCTTCTAATATGTCACCTTCCCTGACCACGCTAAATGCAATAGCACTCTCTGTCAATATTTCCTTACTGCATGTAATTTTCTTTTTATAGCACTTATCATCTGTTTACTTGTAATTTACTTTTTTATCTTCCCACTGGAATGTAATCTCTGTGACAGCATGGCCTTTTGTTCATTACTTATCTCCAGGATCTAGGTACTTAGTACATGTTAAAATGAATGAATGAATGAATAATAATAGGGTGGATCAGGGTTGGGTAAAGATGGTGAGGAGGGCAGGTAAAGAGGAGCAGGGTGGGGTAAAGATGATGAGTCTGTTTTGAATATATGTACTTTGAGGGGCTTCTAGACTATCCAAATGGATTAACCCAGCAGGCATTTTGAGGCCCAAGAGAAACTTCTGAATTGAAGATAAGAACCAGCAAACCCTGGCTGAAGAATATGTAATTCTTACTTGGGGCTTAAAGTGACCATGGCTATTAATGGTTAGAGGTATATACTATTTTAGAGTTGATCAGAAAGCAGGGAAGGGGAGAATAACCAGCCTTTGCTGTGCATCAACGATGTGTTCAGCACTGTCCTGGGTTCTTTCACAGTTATTGTTTAAAGACTTCACAA